TCCACTTCCATCCACTTCAATGTCTTGTGGGCTCCTGCCATCGCTCTGAGTGGTTGCATTTAATCAAATAATTGATGCAAGCAGTAGACTGGCGCCTCCATGCTTTGCTGTAAAATACATCCAAGGAGAGAACGGCTTAAACACCCTCTTTTTTTTTTCTTTCCCCAAACCTCATTAACTTGATTAACTTGTGATGTGCCTAGCAGCCTGCCCTAGTCTCATTATGTTAATTGTGACTGCCGTGGCCCCTTGCTAGCTAGCCCCTGGGCTGTGTAATGTAGCCCCTGGACTTTGCAGCAACCCCTTGTTAACCACCCCCCATGCTCTGCAATGTAGCCCCTTACATTGCTGTGGCCACTCATTAGCCTCTGTGCTTTGCAGTAGCCCCTTGGCTCTGCAATGTAGCCCCTTACTTTGCACTGGTCCCTCATTAGCCCCTATATGTTGTAATAGCCCCTGTGCTTTGCAGTGGCCCCTCATTAGCCCTCAGGCTTTGTAATAAAGCCCCATGGCTTTGCAGTGGCACCTTTAGCCCCTGGACTCTGCCATGTAGCCCCAAGGGCTTAGCAGTGGCCCCTCATGAGCCCCCGGGCTTTGTAATGTCGCCCCTTAACTTTGCAGTGGCCCCTCATTAGCCACCAAGGTGTTTTATGTAGCCTCTGTGCTTTGCAGTGGTGCCTCTTTAACCCCTGGGCTTTGTAATATAGCCCCAGGGCTTTCACTGGCCCCTCATTAGCCCCGTGGGCTTTGCATAGCATCAGACAAACTTTCACCCCCCTCCCAGTATATTATGCTGTTTGTAAATGAGAGCATAGTCTCAGTTTGTGTGTGTGTGTGTGTACACACAGGTCTCTGGTGCAAAGCTGATGTTTAGGTCTAATCTGGGGGTGATGGGAGATGTGTGGGGTCTGGCATGTGACATAGGGAGTGTGGGTGAAGCGGCCTGTGGCTTGGGAAGGGTTAATCCCCCAGCTCCTGTGTACATCTGGAGGACTGGGTTCGCCCCCAGTGAGTGTTTGGTTAAATGTTCAGTGTGGCTTCCTCACTGGCGCCAGTCTGTCTCCTGATCGCTTCCACTAAAGGCCTCCTTCTCAATCTCTTGCAGGTGTTCCGATTGACTGTTTTTCTTTGCACAACATGGCTACAAGACTTCTCTATTTCATTATTTGAGTACGGCATTTGTACAGAAGCTTGTGGAAGAGGGGGGATCGCTGTGGCTATGAAAAGGGACTCAAAAAAATTTATTTTATTTATGAAAAGACTTTAATTCTCCTTTTCTAACAGAGAAGGCTTGAAATCTACTATTCTCTCCTGCAATGGGGAGTGGAAGCTAAACGAGTTACCACAAGGGGATTTGCCACTTACCAACAGCTATTTTAATGCCTTTTTATTTAATAAAAGGTGAAGCATCAGGCAAAGCGGACGGGAGTTATAGAGCTGTACTGGATCGGGACGTCACCTCCGGGACTGAACGAAAATTTGTGTGTATATAGATTATTAAATAAGAATTGTGAACTCTTTAACATTCCAAGTCTTTTCCCCTCCCTTGTACAGTGGCAGAGATTTTTTTTATTTCTGCAAAAAAATGTGTAATGATGAGAAACAAAATTTAATCATGCTAAACTTTTTATAAAAGTTTGGTTGTAAGCTTTTTTTTTTTTTTTATACAGAATAAATCAATGGTGTTTATTGAAATGAATGATTTTAGTCTCTGTGGGTTTAATCAAACAATAAAAAGTATCGCCTGTATGTATTAGAAATGGTTAATGTAAATCCTTTTTGTTTTTACCAGTGTACACCTATTCCGCCGACAGATCCTTTTATGAATCACGCTAATTGACTTATGCAAGTAAATGATTGTCTAGCAGACTTTGAACTTTTCCTTTGGGTCAGGTCACCCATGATCTCTGGGGATATTAAACAAACCATGCAGAAGGTTAAAGGAAATGTGGAGCAATGTCCAGCCTTGCTGTCTTTATCAGCTTGGTGGTGAATTGTGGTCAGCTTGGCCCGGTGTCTGAACCGAACCTGCATTCAGTGTCCCTTGAAATGGGCTGTATAAGGTTGAGAGTTGGATCACCCATGATCTATGGAGATCTTAAACCATGCAGAAGGTCACCCATGATCTATGGGGATAATAAACAAAACCATGCAATTTTCAGCCTCACTGTCTATCAGCTTGGTGGTGAATTGTGGTCAGCTTGGCCCGGTGTCTTAATGTAACCTGCCTTCCATCTCCTTTTGAAATGGGCTGTATGAGGTTGAGAGTTCTTGTTTAAACGTTTTCTTGAGCAGCCAGATATTTTGCACCCAAAGCGACTGCCTCTATTGCCTTCCTATATCGTACTAATACACGACTATAGAAGAGGTTATCCTGTGATAGACCCGCATACCCTTCAAGCAGAGCTCCAATGTTCTCTAGAAAGGGCTGGAGTGAAGGAGGGGGGAGTTCAGTAGAAATAACCATTATGTTACTGATTAAACCTTGGCGGCTCTTGGAACAAGACTCGGCTTCTCCCATCAGAAAATGAATACAACATTGGGGTCTTGCTTTATTTATGCTTGGAGCAGGATTGAGTCTCTACTTAGGGTAGATGTGATGCCTGCTAGCAAGCAGCCAAATGTAAAACCTCTTATTCCTTTTATAACCTAATGTAAAAATAAAGGGTTACAATGACCATACAGGAGATGGATGTTGGGTAGATATGATGCCTGTTAGCAAGTTAAAGTATGTTATTCATTGTAACCCAATGTAAAAATAAAGGCTTATGGTGACCAAAGACAAGAGATGGAGGTTGGAAGATTATTCCACTTTAACCATGTATGCCCATCTTGGCCACTTTAATGCACTAAACACACCCAGTGCTGGCCAGATCAGCAAAAATCATTTGGTTGGGCTGTCTTCAGCGGTCCCATACTGCCCATAGATACTGAAATGGGTTAATATGAACAAAATCAGATGCTGTAGTCTGTGGTGACCTTTTACAGCGGGTGGGAAGATGCTGGATGGAGCGGTCTTTGTGACGCATTTGCAAAAAAGTTTTAAACCAACTTTTTTTTTTTTTTGGTCAACATATCTTCGGTGTAAAAGACATTGGTGTGAAGTCCAGTGCACCCTGTTCTCTTCCAAGGTTATGTTCTCACACCGTTCTAGTTAGGAAGGTGTTGGGTTGGTACCTGACCCATAGTAACTCTTTAACTATTGTCTGTGCTAAAGGGAAGATCAATACATTCTTAATGCACATTATTACAATACTGCAGAGATTACACCTCTAGTCCTATAAAAGGGGTAGACAGCATCAACCCTCCAGCTGGTGTGAGACTACAAGTTTCATGAGGCACTGCAAGACTGACTGTTACAGGCATGACTCCCAGAGGCAGGTGCGTGATGGGGATTTGTAGTTTCAACATAGCTGGAGGGTAAGGGGTAGCCTGCCCTATGAGTTTATCAGACTATATTGAATTGTGTAAGTCAGAGGTAGGCAACCTGAGCCCTCAGCTGTTATGGAACTACAAGGCCCATGAGGCATTGTAAGACTTGGAGAGCCACAGGCATGACTCCCAGAGGCAGATGCATGAGAGGATTTGTAGTTTTACAGCAGCTGGAGTGCTGAGGTAGTCTGCCCCTGTGCTATAGCAACTGCTATCAATACAATCACTAAAACTGTGTAACATGGACTGAAAAGATGAACTATCATCACCAGCATACATACTGAAGATTGAACATTTATTTGCCACCCATAAGGGGGGCCCCTTCCTCAGGCAGTAATTATAAGTAGCAACCACTACTGGCTTTGGAAGTGGCCCCCAGTGATTTTACCACAGCTAGAGTGCCAAGGTCGCCTACCCCTGATATATAATCTTTCAGCCCCAGCCATCATTTCACCATATCACACGCAGGAAATTGCTGTATGCAGTGCACTGGGTTCCTAAAACGAAAACACCCCCTTTTGGCAGTAGAGTTTAAACAAACATATTTTAGTTCTTTTTATTTTTCCCAACGGGTTTCGTACCTGAAGGCACGGATGACCCAAAAAAGTCCAGTTGTTTTGGGGACTATAAGTCCCAGCATGCCAGGACTGTACAGTGATGGAATGCAGTGATGCAGAATGGCTGTAAAAAGCTGACTCCTGCTGAAGGGGTTAATGCGTCCGCCTGGGGACTGGACTGTGAATGGAATCCTCACCTGTATGCCGGAACACTTTACCTGAGTTAAACAGGTGTTTGGGAGGCGCCGAGCAGTCTGGAGCAGCTGCCCTTCATTGCCCTTGACACAAAATCCATCTCCCAGGCCTGGGAGCCAGACCAGCACTGATCTAATACAAACACCGCACTGACAGCTCTGCAGCCAAGAAGACTGCTGAGGGGGGGGGGACCCTTTCATGGTTATCAGTGAACCCGAAACATGACAAACAGATACAGGAAAGCCAAGGAGGGGGTCCACCGCACTAAAAGTACTCAGATATACTACAGGCGTGGATGTAGACCATGATTACATCCTTCCAAACACTGCTGGGTTGTCCTAAAGAATTCCACATGTATGAGGTTCCCTCTTGAGGATCCTTTACATTGAAATAAGATATTATAACATTGGGTCAGACGCGGTTTTCATGAATAGACAACCCGTGGTAGCCAATCCTCTCTTCCTATCTAACGTAACCTGAAAGGTGGTGCGATACTTTATAGGTGAGCGCTATAGGTTTCAGGACTCAAGAGCTTCACCCTTTGTGCATCAATACACAACAAAAGGCATCCCATTATTCTATGGCGGCTCCTCACAGCTATGCACTGTGCTTCCATGTGACTAGAATTTGATGCAGGTGCTGCCTTTGGTGCAACATTTTTAGCCCCATCAATAGGAGCGCATGAAACATATCCGGAACAAGCATTTTCAGGCCTTTATTTTCATGTATTTTTTATGACAGGTATTTCTATAGTGTCATCATATACAGGTAATACTACACTCCATCATATACAGGTATTTCTATAGCGTCATCATATACAGGTATTTCTATAACGTCATCATATACAGGTATTTCTATAGTGTCATCATATACAGGTATTTCTATACTCCATCATATACAGGTATTTCTATAACGCCATCATATACAGGTATTTCTACAACGCCATCATATACAGGTATTTCTATAACGCCATCATATACAGGTATTTCTATAGTCCATCATATACAGGTATTTCTATAGCGTCATCATATACAGGTATTTCCTGTATGATGCCCTCCTTACCTTCTTGTCTTAAATTGTATTGTGACTGTAATGTCTTCCTTATATTGTAAAGCGCTGTGCAAACTATTGGCGCTATATAAATCCTGTATAATAATAATAATATTTCTATACTCCATCATATACAGGTATTTCTACACGCCATCATATACAGGTATTTCTACACTCCATCATACACAGGTATTTCTACACTCCATCATACACAGGTATTTCTATACTCCATCATATACAGGTATTTCTATACTCCATCATATACAGGTATTTCTATAGCGTCATCATACACAGGTATTTCTACACTCCATCATATACAGGTATTTCTATACTCCATCATATACAGGTATTTCTATAGCGTCATCATATACAGGTATTTCTACACTCCATCATACACAGGTATTTCTATACTCCGTCATATACAGGTATTTCTATACTCCATCATATACAGGTATTTCTATAGCGTCATCATATACAGGTATTTCTATAACGCCATTATATAAAGCAGGGGCCTGGTTACAGATCACAGGGCCCATAGCAAAAATGTGATGGGGCCCCCCTGATGATCTCTCTGAGCTGTGACAAAGGGACACCAAGATCCCAAAGACCCCACTTGTGCATCTGACGTCACCTTTCATACACTGTAGACTTTACAGAAGATTAAGGTTGTCATCAACTGCAGCCACTCCAACCCTTAATGAAACAGTACTATGTTATCTTCACATGTTCTGTGTTCAATTTGCCTCAACAACCTAATGGGGCCCCCATTAGCAGCCGCCTGGACTGCTATGCTTATAGTTGCGCCACTGATATATCTGCATTGGCCAAAACAAAAATATATAACTCATTGAGATGCACGAGAGACGCACAACAAAAACACGTAAACTCATGAAATTGTAGATGAACTAGTGTGAACGGAGACCAAGAAACACATTGTACATTATGCTAGAGACTTGCACAGGTCTTCTTGCCATACCGAATGCATGACCTGAACCCAGAATCCGTACACAAGACAAGTGTACAGACAGCAACAGAGAATGTGACTTGTTGAAAAAAATCTGACTTTTAAATATTGTGTTTGCTATGTCTAACCCAAACCAATGGAATGTGGAATTTGGACCTCCACAGGTACCTGCAGTTTACGTATTTGTTTACGTACCCGACACAGCTCTCCATAGTCTGCATCTCCAACGTTGTATCGCACAGATGCATTACATATAACAGCAGAAGAATTCAGCCTCTTTCAGCAGGATAATGCACCCTGCAAAAATAGT